TAACCTTAACGACTCCGGCCAGTCGCACGTAACACTCCATCCGATTGCAGCATACTCACTGACGTCCCATCAAAAAATTTGGTCTGAAAACATACAGCCAACGAAATGAAGATGAAATAAAATTGTAAGCGCGAATATCAGTTTTTTAGAAACGACTTACCATCATTCAATATGATCTTGTCCAGAAGCCACGCAGTATCTCTAAACACTTCTGGATCGTCTGTACAGAAAGAATGTATCTGTGATTATACCTTGAAAATAGTCTGCGCCAGGGGAGGGAGAGGGAGGTGGGGAGGGGGGGGGGGAGGGTAGTAAGAGGTGGGAGATAGAGGGTGGGTCATCTATGAATAAGCATGTACAATAATGGGTTTCACCTAGAGAGGACGAAGAGTAGAACGTTTTCTCAAGGTAACCTATCTTGATGTATTTTTAGATATGGATCCCAATCTTGCCGCGCGATTATAGCACGACGACAGATGTTTTGTGGGGGAAGAAAATGCATGAAAAGCCGCTTGGGGTATTACAGGATTGATGTATTACGTACTTTTAGACTCTCCTAGGAATTGGAAGTCAAGAGCTATCTAAACACATAAAAAAAACTTGACAGGGATGACCTTGGGAACAAAAGGCGTATCCAATTTCCCCGCTTAGTATTTGCTGGCTTTTACGCCATTGTCCAGTGATGGCGTGAGACGCTTAATACATATATAATAAGCCTCTTTGTACAATAGCAGATTCAAACTTAGCCTTGTCTCCTGAGTACCTTTTTTTTGTTTTGCCTTTCACCTGTTAATTACTATACGTCTACTAAGATGGTGGAGAACAATACCGGAAATATAACAACTGTTAGTTCCACGCATTTGGTCTTCTATATGATAGACACAATGCAACTACTCGGATTGACGGATTGAATTTTATCCTTTATATATTTGCTTTCCTCTCTCGGTCTCACGTGACTGAATTGTTTTGCATAATTATGCGCCGTGTTACGCGGTATATTAATTATTTATGCCGCATACATTTAGTCTTGTTGAATTTTTGGCGCGCGTCACGGTTGTTAATTTATGTGTTTGAACGGCTGAAAGGAATATTTCGTTGTTCTTTTTTCTTTTTCAAGTTAAACGCTAAGCCGTTTCAATACTCACCCTCATAGTCTGGAATTACTCCTCTTTCCAACAAGAGAGCGGCTGGATCTCGCTCGTCATATTCGAATGGTCGTCCTTTGGAAAGAATAAAACGAATCACACAAAACCAACGAAGTGAAACATTGACCGCGAAGCATAACGAATTTATTTAAGATGTTATCTATTTGTTTTGGAGCTAAGTAAAAGCCTAAAATTGAGATAGTACTGCGCGTTAATAAGTTATTGCTTTGCATGGAAAAAGAAAGTCACTGAATACTAAATCAGGGTGCTTTTTTTTTCGGAAAAAACAAAAAATTAAATAAAGAAAATCACGTGTCGAGGCTCATTTATATGTGGGGTATGTTGAACACGTAGCACCATATCAAAATTGAAATAAGCTATCTTTACAATAATACGAGCAACGGTGGTGTAACTTGTGCGCTATTTGTAAAATGGAATGTTTTTTGCGACTAGGTCAATCAAACGGCTGCATTGGAAATGGAATTGCCTGCAAGATCACTGACGAAGGTTTTCAGCTGCACTTTTCTGGCTCCTACCTGAGTGTAAACATTTAGGCAACGCCTTAAGGCAGATCGATCTACGTACAGTCCAAAGAAGTGCCCGTGATTTACTAAATTATTATCATTATTATTATTTTAATCCGGGTATTGCACCGCTCCAACTGCAATGAAGAAATAACGGTCGTCTTGCCCTATTAAGCTTTAGAGGTTACATTATGCAATGCAGAATATTTCAACGGAAAAGGCGCACTTCGAGACTAACATAAAAAGCAAATTACACACCTCTGAAGTCCTTAACTGTAAAAGCTGAGGCACAGGCAAAAAGCAGGAAAACAAACGCTGGAGCAAACGTGGTCATCTCGAGCTCTGGATTAAGGCTTTGAACGTTAGTGGTAACCTTTCTTTTAAGTGCTCTGAATCGGCCACGTTGAAGATGCTGACTGATGAATGTTTGATAACCCAGGAATATAAGTATGTTAAACGTTAAAGCTTGTTCAACGCTGATTCGCTGCGTCTTACTCAAGTTGGCATGAATTTATCGGTTCGGTAAATATTGGATATTGTGTAACTGTCAGTGTCACAGAACTGTCCTTGATCAGTTTACAAGTTACAAAAAGTAAGATATATTTATTTTTAAAAACATCATCAAGTGTAATAATTTCAGTGTAAAGCGTCGCCACAAAAAGGACAAACTTAAAACCGTTTTGGTTTAGAATTAAGTTATGTCTTGCTTAACACAATATCAAGTGGATTGAGTGAATAAAAATACTGATACGAATTTAAATTCCTAGGAGACGTGAATGCAAAGAAAACAATGCAAAAACTTAAAAAAAAAATGCAAAAAAGAGACAAATAATATATAATACAATGAAAGTCACGTACTAGAACGTTTCGCACGAATTGAGTCTTACAGTGCTCTCGAACTAAACTAAATAATCAAACTTCGACCTGGATTTCTTGGTTTTAAGTTTTACCTTTTCAACGCAATGTTTTAAAGGAGAATTATCGAGCAAATTTCTTCTTGTACGAAATTAAGATTCAGTAACAAAGTTATTTAAGAGAATACGAATTGATTCAGTTAAAAAAGCGGTTAACATAATAAAGTAAGCAATTATTATTTGGTAATTAACTTTGACTAACATTATCATAAATTATAACAGCCGCGCAGTTAAACTCGGCACACGCAAGCGAACTCAGTGCAATAATTCACAAATAAGGGCGAGTGTTTCGTCGTGGTTTCCAGACACGAGAAAAGTGATGAGAGCTCGAGACTGCAGGCCGAGTGCATTTATTGTTTTCGATGAAACACGAAGGACGAGTTTTGGAAAGCTTCTCAAATGCAAACGCGCATCATTAAC